AGGAAGAATACATTCAGAACAAGAGACTGAGAGAGGAAGCTAATCTGCAGGGTTGCAGGCAGCTTCGTGTAATGAGTTATGTATAAAGGCTAAGAAACGGCTGCAGGAAACTCAGAAAAGCATTCAACCATTCACGTACCAAAAAAAAAAAAAAAAAAGTGCAATGCCTATTGTAAATGGAAGGGTACCTGTGTGTTGAACTGAAACTCGAATATTTCACCAACAAGAACCATCCTTTTGGTTTCTGGGTGCTTCTCAGTTGTTCCTCCAGCAATGAAAATTGAATTGTTAACGATTGCCCAAGCGAACTCTATATGGGAATCTGGTTTAGGCATTGGAGGCAAAGTTTTCCACTTCATATCATCATCTAACATGTACACATGATCATATACTACCTGCAAAATTCAATATCCATGATCATAATTTAATAATTAAACATCAAGCAAATGAGCCCTTATATTTGAAAAACCAGTGGCATGAAGTTTTGGAATGTATGGAATAGAGTAATCAATCATGAGGTTTCCGTGCAAAAAGTGAGAACTAGAAAATCCAAGCAAGCAACAATAGTACACAAAGCATGCTCATTGGAAACCAGCAAACATTCACAATGGATAATACACAACCATTGCAGTGCTGGATTAATTTACTGTCAGATCACCTCATTCCGACGTGAGCATTTGAAAATTGGTGATCCAGGTTTGGCCATAAAATCACCCTCTTGACCACCAAAGACATAAAGTCGGTCATCAAATACAATACAAGTCCTGCACAAGATTTATGGTAAAATGCAGAAAATCAACTTTAAGGAGTGCCTGACAAATCACATGATAAGTTCTTTAATATTAATCAGTCTTTTTCACCAGAAAGATAAACATGGATGACTTTCTCCAGAAGGAGCTTGGCAGCTGAAGTCCCATAGGAAGTGCTAAGTGGCTGATGTTCCACAGTAACAAAGAAATTTGTTATTGTTCCTACATAGTGATACTTTTTTGGACAATACAGGGCAGCCATTGTTAATCTGATACCCATATCGAACACCAATATTTTCTATAAAAAAAGTTTATTTTATTTACTTATTTATATATTTAATTTTTAATTTTTTTATTTTTAAAAAAAACCTTCTGGAGGAGGAATGCAGAGGCAGGTAGAAACCATCCTTGAGTATAACATAAACAAGACACCACTTGTATGTGCACAACATAAACACTTGTGAGTAGCCAATGTACCTATGAGGCCCACCACGAGGAATAGGTATCTCAGAGCGCCACTCTGTTTCTAAGACTTTTCCATCTTCAACTGCAATACTCCAATGCTCTAGTGCTGGAGTGTGCCGATTCTCTTTGCTTCCACCCATCACATGGAGCCGGCCTCTCCAAAGCGTTGTTGCAGGTGCATACCTGAAATTCACTAATCAGTAATCTTCATTCACAGTGAATCTAAGGAGGTCTGATTAACAGCATATTTACTATTAGACAATACTAAGTGCAGAGTTGAGCCCTAGATGCAGAAAACATGAGAGCAACAGTCACATGGGGCATGCATGCATACATACATACATACATATAACAGATATGTATGCTTGTGTGTTATATGTATGTATCCACAGTACAAAGGCGATTTTGCTGCTACCATATATACAAGGACTACTAATAAATGTAAACTCCCTAATCTATGGTATAATTGATTCTGAAACTATAATACTAAGAAACCACTAAATTTATGAGATAATTACACATTAGACTGTGATCTCATTTTTTGTTTTGTTTTGTTTTTCATTTTTTTTTTTTTTTTTTTTTTTTTTAAGACCTTAGGACATCAAATGTTCCTGAATGTTCATAAAGTTACTTAAAAAATTATTTATGAACTAAAAGTGAAAAATGAAATAAATACTTGCACAGAATTCCTTTGATTAAAAAACTTTTAGGTATGCCATTTAGAATGAACTTAGATCCAAAATGAGAGATAAAATTTGAAAACTCACAAAATAAAATGCTAACCGCAGAGGAGTAACCTAAAAGCTATGTGACGTGGTAGCTTATCCAAGTCAGTTCAGTAAGAACACATCAGCTATATGACTATCAGCAACAAATATGATATTTTTGGGTAATTTAAGAATTCTTGCATGTAATTGAAAAGACAATTACTAATTGACAAATTCTTCTTACCTTGGTACTGGCAGGGGAAGCATATCCTGCCATTGCTTTGTCACAGTGTCCAGCACAAATGTGTGTGCAGTAGGGCCTCTACATTGGGGACCATACTGTCCAGTGACAACATAAATGTATCTCCCATCTGTTACCATACCTAAATGCGAATGGGCCATATCTTTGGGCATATCAAACCTCCCTCCCCATGTGTTATCCGTAAAATTGTATATGTCGACATGAGAATGAACCTATTACATTAAAGAATGTAGTTAGGACCATCACTTTGTTAACAAAGACATGAATTTTTTCTCATATTGCATTGTTTAAGAAAGGCAGAAGTAGATTCAGTGCATTTTTTCTTTTGTAAACATAGAGAGCTTGTTTTTCATTTCAACATAGCAGATAAGGAGCAACTCAAAGCTATAAAACACATTTATACCACAACTTGATACTTCTAAATATATCATAACAAGTCAGATTCAATAAACAAGTAACTTTATCACCCTAAAGCAGCTCAAAACTTATGGATTGAGTAATTCCGGGTGTCTGAAGTAGAAAGAACTCAGACCAAAATCATAACCCCATAATTAGCTCCTCATCAAATTCCAATCCTGAGATGATCAAATAACAATAAGTTACTGGTTACTATAGGGAAAGAATGTGGTGGAGAATCTCCTCACAAAATCAATCGTTCCATATCCAGCAAAGACATAAAGAAGGTTCTTGATTTGTATTGCAGCACCATCAAGACGAGGCACTGGGGCTGGGGGCATCTTCTCCCATTTTAACTCCGGAGCAGGCAAATCAGCAAAGGTAGCTGATAATTTCCTCTCAGAAGTGGCATCTTTTTTACTCTTCTTCTTAACTGCCCCCTGTCAACAAACAAATGCCCCATTTCAAACATCAGATCAAGAGCCATCAGACCATCATAGAAATAAAAAATTGACATAAAAATAACATATGTATCTCGGAAATGAATGTATCTATCCGCAGTTGAATTTAAGAGTTTTAAGCCAACCATTGATTAGATTGCTAAGAAGTGGCAGACGGCGAATGGATTATGAGTAAGCAAGACAACCTCACCTCTGTTACGTGTGTCTGATTTGGGAAGATAACGGCATTGGTACGGGAGACAGCCAAGCTACTGAATGCGGCAGAAGAGGAAGACGAAGAAGAAGAAGCCCACAGTAGATCTGCTACGAGAGCGGCTCCTAACAGCCCCGCGCATACAAAAACCAGCTTTCTTGTTCTGTGCTTTCCCGTAGCTCCTCTCGCGCCAAATCTCATTGCATTTGTTCCTTCTCAATCGCCACTCACCGACTACAACTACTTCTTCCGTAATCCAAATCCCTTTCTCGCAAATTCGCAATTATTTGTCGCAATTCCTTGCTCAAATGAAGTATAACCAAGAATGTACCTTCGTCTATAAGAAATCGCAACAAGAGAGATCATGGAACTGTACGGTAAATCGGCAATGAAGCAGGAAGCTGAGAGGTGAGAACTGGTAGTTTTTTTTTCGCGGGCTGTCTGAAACTTTCTGGGGGCAATTGGGCATGGAATAAATGAAAGATTTCGAGTTTTATTGCAATACATGCCCATAAAGCCCAGCCCATTTAAGGTGCCAAGTCCAAAACACATGGGCCCTGTTTGGTAAAATGGCTGTTAGCGGATAGCTGTTAGTTGTTAGCTGATTGTGTTAATTAGATGGTATAAATAGTTGATAACATTAGCTGATTGTAGAAAAGTGTTTGGTAAATTAGTTGTTAGCTGTTTGCTGTTTGGTATCATTTCTTTTCTCAAAAAGCTAATTGAAAAAGTTGCTTGGGGTAGCTTTTTCAATTTTAGCATTTTGGAGTTGCAAAATGTTAATTAACCAAACATTTATATTGATATTTTAATTAAATCAAACAATTAATAGTGATCAAATAAGCCAAAATTGACTTATAGGCCAATTTTTTACCAAACAAGGCCATACTCTTTTTTGAAAAGATAATACACATAATTAACATAATACATAATACACACATAAACTCTTAACATAATATACATAAATTCCATGTTTCAGATGTACATAATTGTATACAAAATGTATACAATTGTATAAAAACAAAATGCACATAATTGTATAACATAATGTACATAATTATATAACAGAATACACATACACTCTATCGCGTCAACCCCCCACACAACGTCATTTTGGGAGGCGCCGCGCCTGTGCGCGGTGGTGCACGGTATAACAATTGCCTTATTTTATTACTCCATCTCCCCCATTTTATGTAAGAAATACTAAAGAAAATTAACAAAGAATAAAAAGTTGATTTGACTAATCAATAGTAAGTATGACGAATAAAAAAGGACAGAAGGAGTCTATAAAACTATCAATCTATAGTGGTATTACTTTGAATCTTGTTTAGATCACGTTTATAGAGTTTAACTAAAGACTAACATATACTGGCACCAAGTTGCTCCCCTATGTGGGTGGTTGTGGGTTCGAGCCTCAGTGGAGGTGGACTATTAACGTGGGTGGTTGCGGGTTCGAGCCTCAGTGGAGGTGGACTATTAACTCTTTCACATATACTACATTGTAATAGAGAAAAAAAAAGATTTAATATGACACACATTTAGTAGTTGAACATGTACGCTTTGGAGGTAACCCTAACATAGTTGGCTTCGTAGCCACAAAATTTCAAGTTCGACTCTCTATGAAAGTTGTCTATTGATGAACTTTATCTGCTCCTTCAGGGATTGCAGACTTTTCCATAAATCAAAACATGCACATTTACCTACTTACCAACTCTTCAAAGCTGTTGGGTTAATATATAATAATATTTTCAGTATAAGCACACCCTGTTCAACTGGTAAGAATTTTGCATTAAAAAAAATGACCATTACAAAATCATAAATGTTTTGAGAGTAAACATAGATGACAAAAACCCTACTTGAGCTATACAGAAATTAGATATTCATCCACTATGTTCAAACAAGCAATGTTCTACCATCCTTAAGCATGCATCATCATCAATTGCATACTACCATAGTGTCATTATCACTATATATACTGCAACCACACAACTATCATCATAGCACAAATCACAGAAAAAAAAATTGAATTTTACACTGGATACTGAGAATCAAACAGGTATGACATCAGCTCTCGACGCGTCTTCACACCTCAAAATAATCCCCTCAAGGCTAGCTGGAAAGATGCATTTCATCCACTGGCATCCTGTTGTTAATGGTTCTGGTTCTGGGGGAGGCACAATCATAAGCACATTCTCAGTCCTGTGCACCACCCCCATTACACTCACTGTGCTTCCTTCTTTGATATACCTACCAAAGGGACAGAAGTTAGTATCTACCATTCTATCCCCAAGCATTATAATTTGCTAATGCAAGAGGGAAGTAAAAATGAAAAATTTTTGTTGGATAGCTTCTGGTTTTGGCGTTTCTGATCTTGGTTGGTAGGTTTTTTTTTTTTTTTTCTTTTTTCTTTTTTTTTGGACGACAAGGGAATCCCATAGCCACTACCAGAGGGTGCATTGGATAAACCAAGAACCACAAGAAGGTAAACCAGCCAAGATTGCCCATAGCTGACCAACATAGGCCGCTCCCACTGGGAGTTGAACTTAGAACCTTGTGGCTACCAAGCCAACAGTCTGACCAACTTGGCCGGATAGCCCCTGGATAATAGGTTTTTGATGAGCCTCCGAGAGAATCCGGCCATTGCTGGCTCTAGATGCTATGGGAGTTGTTTGGCCTAGATTCTTGTAGTTATTGTTTTCTTAAAATTTGCTGATGAAGTGTTTTAGAGGATTTGCAGTGTTTTCCAGATTGTGATCCAGCTTACACTGCATACATCCTTCTTCTACTTAAATGGTGACTTATTGTGGTGCACTAGATGTGAATGAACTCCTCAAACTAAACAAGAGAAGCAAAACGCTTACCCTTCCTTCAATCGCATTATGCGGTCATCGCTTGAAAGATTCCTCTCTCGCAACCACCGGATGAAGTCTGGAGATAAATCCTTGTTCAAAGGGTTGATATCAACAACCACAGATTCCTCCACATAAGGTGTGACCTTTGATCCATACCCAGTCTTAACCAATGCTCTCAATCCAGACTGAAAATCGGAGATGTAGAAGTCGACTACATGCTTCTGAAAGAAAACAAGAAGATGTTTCTAGTCAACACTTTTAAAGCTCAGCAAGCCAAGAAGTGAAAAAGGTAATCAACAAGAACATTTCAAGGTCTTAGTCCCCAACTCCTGACCCAAAGAGGTAAATCAGGACCTAAAAATGAAAATAATCTTATATTTCACTTAGGAGCTTACAAGTTCCAGGCTTCCAGCTGACTTTTTAGATGATATATAACAGATGGCCAGGAAATAAATAAAGGAAGAAAGTGGCTTCACTGATTATATAAGATTGAATTGAAAACAAACAAACAAACAGACAGGAAAGGCTAATTAGCTACTCACTTCTGATGATCTGAGTCCCCATGTAAAACGACGATGTGTTGGATTTGCAGCTTTGGAACCCCAACCTCGATACTCGTACAAACTTGAAGATGTATACACACACCTAGGAACCCTTTGGAAGGACGATTCAAGAGGAACGTTTCCGCAGGTCACCACCTGAAATATCACGAATCATAGTTTAGCATCTAGGGAAATTTGAAAACAATGCAAGCAAGCATACATTGATATTGATGCGCAATGCTTTCAGAAAGGATTTGTTTTCACTTTTCCCAAAAACGTGTAATAAAGCTTTGAGTAAGAGGGTGATAGTATCATATCAATGAGAACAAGAAAGAATATGTAGGATGTTCATTTGAAAGGAGGGCTTATCATAGCCCTGAAGGCAGAAGCCAACAGTAGGGGGAGTAAGGTTCATGATAATGATCAATAATTGAAGGCAATCTAGACAAGGTAGAAGAGAATGTGTCCACGATCAGATTTGAAAATGAAATGCACCGTGAGTCGTAGCTGATTTCCTTATTCTAATCAATGCAATCAGAGAGAGAACACACGGCTTCTCAACTCTTAATCTTTCACTATCTATTTTCTATGTTTTTCCACCTTGGGGTTGGGAGGAAGCAACAGAACCATGTTATTAATTGTAACTCTACAAGAGTCCTTGGCAATGGGAGTCAAATGCTAAATCAGAAAGAAAGAGTGATTACCTATCTAGCATCAGATCTGAAAATAACGAGAATGGCACCACTTTAAAGAGAACACTTACCCCAGAAACCTTGACATATTCTCCATTTTTTGCAGTTCTTAATTCAGCATCTGGATATTTAGCAATGAAACGTATAATAGCTCTTCTTCCCCAGCAAGAATTCCATGTGAAGAGGACAGTAAGAATGCCAAATAGAACTATGACAACAACTAGGAGCACAGCATTGTGCACTGCACCTAGAATAAACCCACCCGCAATGAAGCCCATGACAAATAGCAAAACCATTGCCCATAAGATAGGTTTTGGGAAGTTTCTCCTGAAGGAGAATTCATCATGTTGGCTAAGAGTTGTCACAGCGTGGTTGTTAACAGTACCAGGACCAGGCTTTTTCATAGAGCCCATTGTTTCCAATGGACCAGAGACCTTTCTTGGTGCCCCAGAAGAATTCAGAGGGCCAGAAGAGATGGGGCCAGAAGTAATAAGACCAGTTGTTGGGAGAACTGGCAGTTGAGGTCCTGATTGGCGGCCAGTTGCTATGCTCGATTGAGGTCCAGATGACCTTTTCATAGGTTCCCCATGCCTGTTAAGAGGGCCAGAAGTTGATTTCTTCATTGAAGCTGAACCAGTCACCATCATTGATGAAACAAGACCCGAGGTTGAGTGACTGGCCCTGCCAGAAGCATTAGGATTTATAGGTCCTGAATGTGAAACATTTCCCACAAATGATCCAGTTCTTGAAGGAGCACTAGTTAAAGGTCCTGATTTCCTTGACTTTGAGCCATCCACAGGGATATCAAACATTTTCCCAAGTTCTCCAGACTTCTTGATGTCACCACCAGTATAAGGCATGGCAACAAAACTCATTGTTGGTGTCCTTTCTTTTGGCTGCTCAGGCCGTCCTGACACGTATAGCCCATTGCTGAGCTGGTGAGATGGGAATCTAGAACCCATCACGCTCTCTTATGGAGTACACCTGCGACAAGCGCACACCAATGCAGATACTTTGGCCTTAGTAAGTACCTTGTAAAAGAAATAAATGTGTCAGTTGAAAGCTCTATGCATTACAGGCAGAGGAGAGTAATACAAACAAACAAAGGACTAAAGATCAAATCCAAAGCAACCTGAGTAAACTGAAGCACCTAACCTCTCACACTGTTAATACAGTAAGTAACTCTTCAAATCTTAAAAACCAAAATTTTTTGGTGGCACACTGATCAAGTGAGGATAGGAGATGTTAAAAGTACTTTTTATGTAGCCATTGTGGAAAGCAGGATAATCTAATCCTAATTAAATTGACTTGTGAAACCACTAGGTACTTACTTCAACAAAGATCCTAAACACAGAGACTCAGAAAAATAACAATTCTGTACTGAACCTGTGGATTTCAAATCCAGAAATCCAAACCCAGTCTAGATGAATTCATTTCATAAAACAATGTGTAACAAAGGATAGATCAGAAAGCCAAACTGACATCTGAAATGCCAAAAATAGCACTTCTCCATTTCACACCATTAAAACAAAAACAGCCATCCCCATCCTAGAAGGCTAGAAAAGCCAAAGATAATTTCTTTTTTCCAAATTTAGGTAAGTAAAGAACTGTTAAGTTGTCAATTCTTATCCGAATGTATTCCCCCGCAACAAACCTCACTGTTTTAACCCACATTTCACTAGAATGCGCTAATGTTCCCATCCCAAATCCATAGAAGAAAAGAAGACATAGCAAGAGCATTCCAATTTCACCAAACATGAACAAGATCGAGTCCGCAGATGTAACAGCAAATCACGCAGAGACAATGAGAAGATGGCTAAATGGGGAGAAGGAAGAATGAAGATTTAGGCAATGCTTATAATCCTGAGAAAAAACTCAGATCACAAATCTGTAAATAACTGAAAAGCACCTTATTACAGTACACTTGAGCTGTGAATGCGAGTATAAGCTAGCTCACAAGATTCTGAGCGAACCCGACACCATCAAGGATTCGAACTTGCTCTCTCTCTCTATCCCTCTGAAAATCTTCAGAGAAGCGCAACAACTGGTAGTTGTCCCGTCCGGCAATAACCTCAAAACATGGTTATGCTGAAAGCAAGATTTAAAAAAATAATGTAGGAGTGAGCAATCACAGAGATAATATAATGTACGAGCGGAGAATGAGCAGTGAGGTGAAGTGTGTGATTGTGAAGCGACAGTAAAAACTTAAAATGGGTAGCGTTTCTTTTTCTACTCGATGCTTAATTGGCTGTTAAAACTCAGAATTCGGACATATGGATGGATGGATGAATGAATGAATAGCAGAGATGGTAATGATATTCCTTTATCCTTACTACACTACTCACTTAGCTCTTTGCGTGCAGTAAGTAACGATTTAACAGTTGAGTTAATTTATATCCTCTCATATGTTTTGTCAGATTGAAACAAGCAACGATTTAGCAGTTGAGTTAATTTACATCTTCCTAGATGTTATGTCAGATTGAAACAAGCAACGATTTAGCAGTTGAGTTAATTTACATCCTCCCAGATGTTATGTCAAATTGGAACGTGATGACCATTAGAATTGGAGATTCAACTTTTTGAGAACAATGTTATAGATTTTATAACACATTGATAAGAGTTATTCTTGTTACAGATTTTATAACACATTGGTAAGAGTTCAATTTTACGAGCTCAATGCATATTGATTTTATCATAGTGAGAATACGGGGCGCAATTCAAAATAATTCTTTGATGACAACAACAACAATAATAAGGAAAATGGCATTTTTCACTTTTAAATTTATTAAATATGAAAGTTATGTTTTACTTTTATTCACTCAAACACTTTTTTTTAGGGCATGGTATTAAATTTTTTGTTTATATTGAAAGACAATTTTAAGGTGTCAATTGACATCAATGTCTTTTTGTACTAGGTACAACTCAACATAGTAAATGGAAAAAGTATTGAGTTTTGTACTAGATATTGTAGAGATAGTGTATCCACAATATCCCGTACAAACTTAAAACTTCATCCAAAACTTTGTAGATTGTATCAATTTCAAAGGCACCAATGTCAATCGACACTATAGACTTTTCTATGGATTAAATTGGTAGTATCCAATGTACCTATTGTTAAAAATTGTGTAGTTGAACCGATAAAAATGTTAAATTTAGATAGAAAGTTAACAAATTTGATATTTAGCTCCTGTAAATATGTTAATAACATATACAATATTACAAAATTAGAGTAACTCACTTCAAAATTAATAATTTTTATTTGATCATAAGTTTTTCAACTAAAGTACACTATAATCTCACAAATCGAGACTAATTATTTTCATAACAAAACAGTCACTTACGAGTCTTAAGATAATTGCATTCCCATTTGAAATGATTAATTAAGCTGAAAAGATTTACGTCATCTCATTTATGAATACTTAATGACTATTGAAAATTATGGCATGGATCAAAAATTGTATTGAGGAATCTCAATCATACAGGGATACTTAGGTATTTTGCTTAGATTGCACAATACACACACTTCAGAACTAATGTTTATATTGCTTGAACGAATAATCATAATGTTTGATTTGAATACTCATTTCGCCAACTCATGGTTATACCTACTGGAAACAGTGAACATTTATAGAAAAATTCACATTTTTAACGAACCTATTGCCTATTGGTACCACTTCATTATTAATTAGATGTTTAGATCTCAACGTCAAAGTGCACAGTGAGTGCACAGTGTTGTACAACGTTACAATTTATAGCTGAATGAAAAAAATATATATACATATAGAGGCAGCAAAAGGAATCGGGAATAAGTTGTAACGTTGCAATGGGGGAAAAGTGAAAAACTGTCACTTTAAAATAATTGAAAAGACAAATGTCGATACATAAATAACGGAAAAAGTTGTTATAAGCCTATAATTCAGAGAAGAAAAATGTTGTTTTCTCTTTTCAATATATGAAAGCTATATATAACTATTGGGCCGGGACGGTGATGAGAAAAAAGAGATAACAAAAAATTTTATTATAACCCTTTAACATATCAATTATTACAAATTAACGTTACGTAACAAATATGTGACGTGAGGTACGAAAATTACTGTATAAATGTCACAATTCATGGACTAAAAATATCATTCTTTTTCCTAGAGATTATTAATACAATGAAAATATGAGAGTGACAAAAACCAAAAATCTTCAAAGAATATCACAAACTTATTTTGTTATGAATCAAATTGCATTCAGACTCTCTGAGTATCTGTGACAAAGAAATTATAGAATCAAAAGCAACCAGTAGACTTCAGCTCTTATCCTTCACAAAATCAATTGCTCATAAGCTTTGCACAATCTGCAATAGAAGGGAATGTAATCAATCAGTAGAATGTTATATGTACAGTCACTATTAACCCTGCCCACATTATCACCATAGGAATGCAATAATCAATCAGTAGAATGTTATATGTACTGTCACTATTAACCCTGCCCACATTATCACCATAGGAATGCAAGTAATAATTTATAAAAGCTGTGCTTTGCATGTACAAAGTATAAACCATGCATTTCAGCAATGCTCTCTATTTTTCTGATTTACGGGAAAGCCCGCAGCTGTTAGTCAAAGGTACGCTCTGGGTGAAATCTGCCTTGTAACCCTAGTTGGCAAAGGACCACAAGGAGATAAACTAGTACAGGTTGCCTATAGCTGGCTGGCTCAAACTAAGAAGGCTAATAGACAGCTCCCATGGGAAGTCAAACTTGGGACCTTGTGGGGTAACCACCTGCCTGACCAACTCGGCTGGGGCAATGTTCTCTATAGGATATACACAAACTGCCAGCTAACTTGATCCCTTAACCTCTAAAAGGAATGGCACATACATTTATCATACACTGACAGTGAGTGAGAAAGAAAAAATGGTAAACCAATTTTATAGAAAGTGAAATGCTGTTACTTATTGTTTGTGTTAGTATTCTATATTTAAGGCAAGGTTACTCTTTAAAGCAATATGAAAGCAGAGGGAAACAAACAAAGAAATTTTTTTTAATTTACATGCTCAGCTCCCAAAAAAGATTAAGCATTTGGTAAATGCCAAATTCATTAGGCAAATCTCAGGTGCCAATTCAGCAAAATGCAAATGTTCAGAGTTCCCACACCTTAGAGAAACATAAAATGAATCACTTTATTCTGATGAACTGATTAAGCTGTTGCAAATGCAATTAATTTATCAATGACATAATATAAGATAGTAATACTTTAACTAGTACAGGACCAAAAGAAACATGAAAGACAGATCATTAGGCTGTGGAAAGGGGGCTCATCAAACTACATGCAGCTAATGGAACACTTTGATTCAGATGCAAATTTTTGAAGTTGTGGTTCTAAGCTTCTCCAGCTCATTCAATTTAGATGTACATAATATCCAATTTTTTTCTGCACATTCATGCTTTGTAGATGAGACAGCTTCTATATCCCATCCTATAAATTAAGAAAGATGAAAGGAGGTGCTTCAACAAGATGCACCAGAACAATATGCCATGCATGATTCTTCCAAACCAATACAGAAGGCACTCCCAAAGACAGTACTAGTATCTAACCACCGATTTCCAAGCAAGCTAGCAAGATAATAATCAAAGTACAATCCATAAACAGGAAAAGATGCCACCTTTTGTGGTCATAGAAAAAGGCCAAAAAATGAAGACAAACAAGAATCCTAACATCTGGCAAGAATCAAATATGGAATGGGAACAGACTAAGAATTACAGCAGTCAGCAAGTAAATTGGAATACTAATCAAAGCACCAAAGCACTAGTTATGGGGGTAGTAACTGGTAAATGCTATGTATTTCTGGCTTTCTGCATACATGATTTCAATCATCAATCAGTCAAAATCATGCCAAAGACTATATCTTTCAGTATATCATCAAATTAAAATGTCGATTCCTTTGGAGAATTGGACCAAACCAATTTCCCGTTGAAGATATAAGCAAGAATTGAATCATAACTGTAAAGATCAAAATTTTAGAGCTAGACTGCCACAAACCGATATTAATCGCATCATAAACCCGAACAAAATGATGATTTTTTTTTTCTATATTGGAAAAATGGCGAGAAAATCAAACAAATACTCCGTAAAACTGTATGCTTCGTAGTAATTTAGTAAAAAATCAATATAGAATCGAATTAAATACAAGCACCTTGGAGGATCGGAACGGAAACAGATCAATGGCCGCCGTGGTCCTTGGCATGCTGCTGATGCTCGAGATGGCGGCGCTCCTCGGGGAGAGCGACGAGGTAGGAGAAAAGCATGCCGCCGAAGCAGACGTGATAGAGCGGCTCGATGGAGTTAGTCTGGATGTACTTTGCGTTGTAGTTATCCAATCCCCTCTTCACCGCACTCTTGACGTAATCCATGGACATCATCGGCTTCAGGTGCGCCGGCACTTCCTTCACTTTCATCCCCTTTATCTCGTTGTAGAAAGTCCTCATCCTCATCGCCATTCTCGCCGAGATCCGATCAAAACTCTTTGCTCTTTCTTCTTCTCTCTCGCTGCGGTTCGGAACTGTAAATCCGTAACTCCCACAAACTCTCGGGTTTCAACTTTCAACCAGGGATTTTTATTTTTATTTTTCAGTATTCTGACAGAGCAGACTCGTTTGGTTACAGGGAGAAAGCTATTCCACTCCGGGATACGTAATCCCGGTTTGCGCCGGGGACAGAAATGGAATATAAAAAATTTGATATTCCAGCTCAGCCCTAGAAACGTAATTTTCTTATTCCACCGCCGCAGCCCCGTACTATAGTTCTTCGTCTGCCTCCTCTAAACCCCGGAACTTCGCTCTCTTCTATATATATCGTGCGATTATTAGCCTTTGTTTATCATTCATTTACGATATAGTGGAGCTAGAGCTCTGCAAACTAAAGTATTCTCAGTAGTCGTGGATTCTGTATTTCGTCTGAAGATCTGAGCTTTTTTTTTTTCTTTTTTTCGTTTTCATCCTGTTGCCATTGAACCGGAAATCATGTTTGGTCGTCTGTTTTGTTTTGGTTGGGGTTAATGTTGTTTCGTGGATGATGAGAACATCAATTATACAGTTATCCCTGTCTGATTTACTCTGTGCTGAATGCATACCTCTCAAGGCTGACACTGAACAACATTGCCTGCAATTTACTTTTTCTTTGTTTCGACTTTGGAGTTTGCCTATGATGACACTTTTGTATGGTTCCTGAAATGCTAGGTTTTAACCTGGCTACAATGATTATGCATTGAACTAGGACGGTCTGAGGCATTTTGTTTTCATCTTTCTTTTTTTCTTTTTCTTGATAGAGGTAAATGATGTGTTGTTATGTACAGAGTTGAGTACTCCTAACTATTGTTGTGAGCACAATGATTCTCATCTGAATAGGAAGATCTGATGCCTCTTTTGGTTTCATAATCTGTTTTATGTAGGGTTTAGCTATGTCAGCTTGTAAATCCTAATTTTTCTGTCTTTGTTGAATGATGAGAATAAGCAATTACAGTTATCCCTGTCTGATGTATTTTGCTGAATGCTTTTGATCTGACTTAAAAACATTTTATAGTTTTTCTTCATTTATTGTCTCATTCAGTTTAATTAATTGTTTGCAATGCTGCTGTTTGCTCAAGTATGTAAAATTGATTCATTTTCTTTAATATAGAGTTACTATTTATGTTTGAGGATTGGAAAAAAAGTTTGTAAATTATGATATTTTAGTCTCTTGAATGATGAGAATAAGCAATTTCAGTTATCCCTGTCTGATGTATTCTGCTGATAGCTTGTGATCTGACAAGACATAACAGTTTTATTTCATTGGTATCTCATTCACCTTCTCATTGACTAATTATTTGCAATGCTATTGTGTGCTCGTGTGTTCAAAATTAATTTATCTTTTTTAATAGAGTTACTATATATGTCTGAGGATTGGAATGGATGGTATTCACTGGTTATAATTTGTCTTGGATTTGATCTCCTTTAATATTGTTGTAATATGTTTTTTTGTGCAGCAGATTGAATTATTCTCAAGAATGGTTATCATTCAAGGAGACATTGAATTACCCTCCAAAAGCAATGCTCTATCATGGAAGTTTGTATCTTTTTGATGCAATTTGTTTATGTTTGGTAGAGGATAGTACTGCTATGTTGGCAGGTGGAAAAAAAATGAGATGTAAATTTTGGTAGCCCTTGGGGGGTGTGATTTGTAAAATCTTGTAGGAGGATTTGTAACAAACTGACATTTTAATATATTTCAAAAAATATATAATTATCATGTCTTTTACATGTAGGGACTTACAAATGAGGGGTATTTATATTGTTCCATTGTATTTATACTGTTCCACTTTCTCAATAGATGATGGAAATCTATTTGATCTTACAAATAAGATTTAAGATTTGTTATATAGAATCCTCTAATGTTCTAGAATATTCTACCAACTATGGGATGTTATATACAAGTGCCAAAAAAAGTTCGGAAAGATGTATCAAAGTAGTTTTAACCACTAACTAGATTCAAATTAGTACTCATGTTAGTTCAGTAGTAAGGGTGCAACAAGGCACACCAAGCAGGACACGTAGAACATTAGGGTGAGCCACTAGGGCTTCTTTTATGTGCTTGTATTCTATTCCTTAAAGCAATAAATATAGTTTCATACAGACTACAATTGGTATATTCAATCAAAGCTTGTATTGCTTGGACTTTGAGATCTTATGGATACAAATCTCAATTTAAATGACTAGTTTACAGTTTACTATTCTCTGTTTAGGTATGATGTAGAAGGCAAACCCCCTGCAACAAATATGAATTTGCAGGTGAATATTCTATAAATGACATTAATGTTTTTTATTTTCATGGAAATTGTCTGTAATGAATACTCATCTTACCCTCAATATAGGCCCAACATCTTAAGCTCTGAAACATGGATAGGATCAAGTTCATAGACATCCTTATTTAGTGCTTCTCGATCTTCTACCACATACTCCTGTCAAAAAGATGACAATGAGAACAAATGAAACTTTATTATTAAAACTGAGTTAATACCCAATACAGTCCTCGACTAGTGATTTTACCCAATTTAGTCTTAACAGACGGGATGGGCAATAATAGTGGCCTTCATTTATGCACAAAATAAAATAAAATAAAAAACAGCTTCATATATAAACCTTTGTGAGTTCTTGTTTGGCAAGAACATGGTAGTGACGTTCAGTAATCCTCTGCCCACAAATTATTGCTATGAAGAAACCATAAAGTAAGCCCACAAACAATATTGCCAAGACTGCAAATTTCAACCACAAAAATAATATTTAAAAAAAAAAGCTAATAATATAATAATATATAAATCAAGATAAATAGGTTCATGGTGATAACACATCAAAAGGCACCTAACACACCAGTGTATCAGAAGGTAGATGTTCTCACAATATAGCCATGAGAAAGTATCTAAGAGGATTTAATCAGGGTAGAGTAATATCGAGGGTAGAGTAATATCGAATTTAATCAGGGTAGAGTAATACCTGCCGTAGTATAAAAAGCATAAGGATGTTCTTCATAGCCAAACATTTCCCTCAAAGCATCTCCATAAAATTTGTACACAATAACTGCTAAAATTGCTACAATCTGTAGGAAGTGTTCCTCTATTACCCATAGACATATATTGAAAGAGTAAACAACAATAGATAGAAAAAGTTCTCCATACCAGCTGAACAATGACATAAAGGAATGCATGGTCTCTCGCTACAAGAAACTGAAATTTTAATCTCAACCACCAGCGGTCAGGTGGTACATTTGCCCGTAGTATAAACTTTGCCCTGCATTCTGTACAGTTAGCAAAAGCAAAGCCCTCCTGCAAAATGGAAAAACATATATCAGTAAATTACAGTTTGGATTGTCCCTAAACACAACTGAAATCAGTACTCTAACAATCAGCACCATTTTCAGGCAAAATATCAAACTGCCAATATCCATCTTCAATAATAATGTGACATAATTACACTTAGGTTATTTGAGTGAGTTCTCCCATCCATAATCCATTTGACCATCAGTGAAAACAATACGTACAAGAAAACAATTTTTTTACAAATAGAAAATGATTATATTTCTTATATCACAATCTATTCATAACCAATATGCAGTGAAGAAAAGGAACAAACATAAACTTAACAATAGAAACTATTATAAGGACACTAATTGTTAAGGAGTAAATATAAAATAATAGACCTTAGTTGATCTCCAATTATCAAGACAAGACCTGTGGACATATTTCTGGGTTCCCTTACAACGGCAAGGAGCAATCAAGTCTTCACCTGAAAAATGCAACCAGATAATTAAGAATTTAGTCTAAATTAACTTGATGCTTTCAACCAAGAATACTGCACTAAGAACATCTTCCATCACAGACATTTATCAAACTCAATGATGAAATAGCTAGGTCAAAGTAGATAGATACCTTCAGTATCAAGGCATATGCGGCATAGTGGTTGCTCAGAGTGTAATAGCAATTGGCTTCCATCAACTTCAATACTTGAACAATCTCCAGCACTTGTGGAACAATCCCCGCTTTCAGTAATTTCTATTGAAAGTGAAGATAATTCTTCAGATCCCTCTATTACTTTAGAATGAAGTAAGATGGGTTTGGTTTCTGAATTATCCTCTATACTATCAATCGACAGTCTTTGCATTATGGAAAGCTTTGATTCCAAATTGTACCACAAAATTCAGAACACAAGTTATAGTGCCTGAATACCATATCTCAATAGGTACAACAAAACCTGCAAAATAGTTTGAAATCAGAAGAAATGCTACTCGAATGATAAAATTAGTCTACATACGATGTAAAATGTCCACTACCTCAGACCACAGCCAACATAGTAAACCATATAACGAAGTGATAGTCACATACATAATACTAGACAGTGCATCCCCATGCACCACACAGTCATATTAAGGATTACACTATTGTCAGCAAGAAAATTCCATTAATGATGTTGATGGATTATATTAACCGGGGGTCCAAATTAATTAACCCGAATAAATGTGTGAACGTGACAAGTATAGCAACTTATTCCATCAGATGTCATAGTAGATCTCCATTTTCTGGAAGATAGCAATTTAGTCTACTTTCCCAAATTCAAAGAATCTAACATATTATTCTGGAAATTTTAGAATAAATATAGTTGAAAAATCCTTGCAATATAATATTGCTAACAGAAACATATAGAAATACCAGATGTTCAAATATCTGGTAAAAAAACCACAAAGTCACTGAAACTACCATTAGGTGAGCTCAATCCAGCAGCAGTTGACAGGTAAAATTAGAGTTCCATTAAATAAAATGCTCAGGACCAACAATGGCACCTTTTTATAATAATTTCAGACAACATTCATTTTCCCTCTAATTCCTAGCTAGCCACATTTCTACTGTGCTGAGAAATCACAGACATCAAATTAATCATAAAATTCAAACCAGAAATAAATGAATCACAATGTGTTTCGATAAAACATTTCCAGATAATTCTAGAAGACTGACCTGATGAATCTCGAGGATTATTGCGTGACGATCCTGGTGATATTTGAAGAATAAAGAAGACAATAAGACATTACGTGGAAGATGATCCAGATATGAACGTGGGTGTATGCATATGAATCGAGCTCAATGGACCAATGAATTTCGATTTAGGGCTTAGAGGCGAAGAGAATGCGAGATATAGGAAAGAGAATAACAGTCAATGCAAAGAGGAGAATAAAGCCGACGACATCGGACGGGGCGGTGAGCGGGAGATCGTCGCCGGACAAACCTGGTCCTCGAACCTACTAGGAAAAGATCAATTAAATAATGCGATTCCTTTCTTTATCTTTAATTCTTTATTATTACGACCAAGTATACTATAGAGAACAGTACAGCAATCGAGTTGACCCAACCTTGACCCAACACATTACATGGGATTGTTTAGACAAGTCATTGGCGCAAATTGCGGATTATGCCATGATTTATTGGATAATGCTACCAGCATTATACCATATAATAATATTATTAATTAATATAAAACTCAGTCATTATTTTTACAAGGAGCAAGTAATAAATGTCACTTGGTGGATTTTTGTTACTCAAAAGTGTTAGAATTAAGCATATCTACCGCCGATTTGTTAAAAGTAACAAGTGATATGCTTAAACAAATAGAAATAGCAAGAGAGTTTTACACATACAAAAAAGATCATGGACACTTTTTGATGCACAAATTTCATTTTTGGTTCACTAGCTATTATACATGAATCATATTTGATTCTTGACTATTAAAATTTTTTATTAGATGTATAACTATGTAATTTGTATCACATTTGGTTATATTATCCAATTTCTCGAGTAACTATTATCGAAAGTGATTTTTCCGGGAAAAGCAAATTGGCCGAAAAATTAGATGTCAAAACTAACAGGGCGTTTGGTTGGAAGGAAGGAATTAAGGGGAAAAGAAATTATAATTCGGTGGGAATGAAGTAGGAATTACAATTACATTGTTTGGTAGGGAAGGATAATAGAAATGGGAGAAGTGATATAAAGATTAAAATATCCTTGTGTAATAATATTAATGATAGTATTCAAGGACAAATATGTCATTTCCTTTCTTTTATATTTTCATTGTATGAATTGAGTGAATTACAATTCCATGGAATTGCAATTCCCTCCAACCAAACAATGTAATTTATCATTTCATTGAATTGCAATTCAATGCCAATGCAATTCATGCCAATCAACCACCTCATAAATACAATACAGATTACATAATCATACACTTAATTAAAAAATTTTAATAATCAATAACCAAATGTAATTCATGTATAATAATCGTGAAATCAAAAATAAAATTTATTATTTTAAAATTAAATCGAACCAAAAGAGTTCATATGTTTCAAGGCTAAAGCCATATTGTTGGGCTTTGGGTAACATAATTCCAAATCAAGAATAATTTTAATTAATTATCTTTCTCAATCCAATTTATTGTACGTGATTTTTTTTCCTATCACCTAAAAAAAAAATTGTATAAAATAAATTTCACCCTTTTTCTTTAATTTGCATTTTATTATCTATCTTGCCTCACATCAAAAATAAAGGAACTAAGTCATTATTTGACTTATTAGTTATAACGACGATTAAATCGATGACTTATCTTTAAAAAATTAGAACAAAATGTGTGAATTTTCTTAATGTTCTGGCGGAACGGCGGACTAATCCAATCACATAAAGTTCATCTCTCAGGGACAATATCAACGTATTACTTCGGATCTTTCAAAGTATATTCCGTGCTGACGAAGTGCAAATTTAGCAATTTAGCATATCAGATTGCAGAAAAGCAACGTTGTCCCAATTCTCAATGCAACAAATAATAATAATAATTTAAAAAATGAAGATATTAAGATGTCACAAGTCACAACAGACTTATTGGCCACAGGCATAATTATAGTCGACGGGCGACGGGCATAGAAGAATAAATATTATGACCCCACTTATTTATGCTAATAACTCAAGTAAGACGACTCCCCAAACTGCACACCAAATATTAAGCAAATTATAGAACAAAAAATCGCAATGCTTCGGCGTTCCTTTCGTCCCCATCGATCTCCCCCTCGGGCTGCTGGACTAAACGTGCAATAAAATGCCAAACTGGACTGATCTTATATATAAATAATACAAACAAAACCCACCTTTCTGCTCAATGCGCTGAGTGGATAATCTATGCATGCTAAAACAGTCATCGAGTTTCATCCTCAAGGTTGCGGAAACCAGCAATCAAGTCTTCATGAAGCTTTTTGAACTTGCCAATCAAAACATCTTCTCCTTCCGCAGGATCCTCGAATTTCTGGGACCTGCTCGGTAAAAAGTAAAGGGAATGAGAAATAGGGGAGTTGATTGGATCAGCAACAAATGCTACAAACATACTGCATTAAGGCTGTGCCCTTGGCTGAAATATTACTTACACTAAACGGTAGAACAGATCTCCCAGGCGATGCTTAATCAAACTATAAGTAATCTTCTGGCCATCCATACCAGCTCCACGCTCAACGGCCTGCATAAAAGGCCACATAAAATGTTAGTGTAAAACAAAAACTGATTAGAATTCTTATAATTTTCTTGCAATGTTTATTTGATTTATATCGTCCTCCAAAATTTTCCTGAGAATATTATGTACTATGTGGAACCAGAAATCCTCAATCAAGGTGAAACAATGCTAGAAATGACCACATCTATACCTACAAATGCTCTGCCCAACAAAAAGAACCGGACTCAAGACAACATGATTGAACAAGGTAGGAACTTCAATTAACCTGATTGGCCAAGTTGTAGAAATGGATAATGTTACGTAACATCCAAACAGATTTGTAGAATGGGCAGAACTTGTCGTATCTGTCAATAGTAACACAGTGGTGAGTATAGCAATCCTGAGACTGATAAGAAGTAAAACCCTCACATATGCTGTCATAAGGACTCACGGTGTAAAAGCATTTTGTGCAAGGTAGTCCTCCCTCAGAAGTTTGGCAGTTTCAAGGGTAATTTTATCTGTTTCAGCTAGAGCATCCTTTCCAACAAGCTGCAATAAGAAAAATAGAATGTAAACTTTAGACTCAGTTCTTTACCGCTTATGATGAACCCACACAATATAACAAACCAAGGCACAGTTTTCACGACACCAACCAATATCAGGGCCTTCAGGCAGACTACAAGCCTAACTTGACAGTCCTGGATTACATAAAGGAAAAAATGAATGAATACAATCAAGATCACCTACTTGCACAATTTCATTTAGGTCATCTTCCCTCTGCAGCACTTCACGAGCCTTTGTTCTTATGTCAATGAAATCAGGATCAAACTTCTCATAAAAAGACTCCAGTGCCTGAGGATACAATGGTTTTAAAGCACTGTTTCTCGATACACAAAGTGATCCAAGCAAAAAGACTAGCTTAGTTTTGCAGACTCAATACATTAAGAACAAAGATAAAGACGCACCCCCGAGTACTTCGAGTAGGAAATCAACCAATTTACAGAAGGAAAATGCTTCCTTTGTGCCAATTTCTTGTCCAAACCCCAGAAAACCTGAAACAAATCAAGTGAGTACAAGGAGCCATATTCCAAAAATTAGAAGACTCTGTGTTTGTGTTTACCTGAACAATACCAAGGGTAGCGGATGTAACAGGATCTGAGAAATCTCCTCCTGGAGGAGAAACGGCACCAACAATGGTGACACTCCCAGTTCTTTCAGGTCCACCAAGACATTTAACTTTACCCGCACGCTCATAGAAAGATGCCAAACGTGCTGCCAGATATGCAGGATAACCACTATCTGCAGGCATTTCGGCCTGTAGAAGAAAAACAATGCATGTATCAAGATAGGTTGAAGTCTACAACAATCGGTTAGCAATCACTAGTTCTCAATAATTCTTTTCTTACTAACTATGTGGATGTTCCAAAAACTAAGGCAACTAATTCATATAAATTTCAGCTTATGCTAGAAACTCTACCATATAGGTTAGCATGCATAACCAAGAACTGCTGAACTACTATAATGAAAAGGAGAATTTTAAATAGCTCCACATTTGCTCAGAGTTATTGGCTATTTTCAAGCAAATGCCCAAGTTGGTAAGATGGTGGCAAAGTCCCTGTCTTCAAACAATATAAATATATAGCAAATTTGGGAATAACTCACCAGTCGACCAGAAATTTCACGCAATGCTTCTGCCCAACGAGAAGTAGAATCAGCCATCATACTAACGTTGTAGCCCATGTCTCTGAAATATTCAGCTATAGTAATTCCTGCAAAAACATTGACGCAGCAACTGCCATTAAGAACCTAAAAGGATTACCACATATTTGCATAAATATTAAGAAAATGTAACATCTAAATAAAATACACTGGAAGAAGTATATAATAAGCAACCATCTTCAAGTGTTAAAGGTTTTATATTTTAAAGTGGAAAAAAAAAAAAAAAAAAAAAAAAAAAAAAAAAAAAAAAAAAGACTCTATATACTAACTTCCATCCATTTTGACGGGAAGTTACTATCATTGGTGAGAGGAAAACGTGTTTTGGCATATAGTTTGGGAATGAATCAATACAATCAAGCTTGTAGCAAATAATTGCAACTGACAAATAATTTGATGAACTAATCCAACATGTACATAAAACATGAATTTAAGATGAGTAATGAGTAACTAAATGCACCTGTATAAATTGAAGCTTCACGAGCAGCCACAGGCATGTTAGAAGTATTGGCAACAAGTGTAGTACGTTTCATCACAGATTCCTCACGACCATCTGGCAGTGTCATTGTTAATTGAGGGAAATCCATCAGGACCTGCACTCAAGGACTCAGCTCAAAGAACTCCAAGTGAATGATGAAAGTAAAATCTAAGACCAGAAGACAAGTTGCATACCTCTGCCATTTCATTTCCTCTTTCTCCACAACCAACATAAACAACAGTGTCCGAGTTAGAATACTGCATTCATGTATCAATGGAAATGAATGAAATCAGAGAGCAGCTAAAGAAGGAACATGAATTTTTATACAATTTTCTTTTTCTTTCTCCTTTTATTGGGTTTCCTCCTTTCTTTTCTGTGTTTTTTTAGGGGGGGCTTGGGGAGTGTGGGGGGCATCAAAGAATATAAACACATAGGACTAACCTTGGAAAGAGCCTGGCTAATCACTGTTTTTCCACACCCAAAAGCACCAGGTATTGCACAAGTACCTCCAAGCACCGAAGGGAATAGGGCATCGAGAACACGCTGATATTAAATAAAGCCAAGTGAACAAAATCCCGGAATCAATAATTTGTAGAGTGGATTTAAATTAAAGATATAATATTTAAGATAATCATTACCTGCCCAGTAAGCAGAGGGGTGTCAGCAGCTAGCTTCACTGCAACGGGCCTGGGTGTACGTACAGGCCAAGTCTACAAGAGGAAAGTTAATGTATAACTGCTCTTGATTTGAGGTAATAGCACAGCATACAAAGTAAATTCAGAATCCAGACAGTTAATAACCTGAAGCATAGTATACTGCTTTTTGACACCTTGAAACTCAAGTTCGAGAACAGTGTCCTGCATAGGTAATGTGAACAGAGAAAGAAACCACATCATATTATGGTGAATGGATGCATAACAATGAGAAACAACATTTTCTCATAGTTACTTTTGGGTGGGGTATGCATGACACTTTATTCTTTTTAATGAGCCAGAAAGCACAAAACATGACAAATAACTTTGTAAAGATTCTAAACTGACAAGTTACAAGAAATATGACATGCCAAAACAGTTTGAGTTTGAAAGGCAAACCTTCAGTGAGTATTGGCCAGCTGGTGCAATATAAGTAATCTTTCCCATTGCATCTGGAGGAAGTGCAACATGATGTTGCATTAAACTGTTCTCAATGACAGTCTGCAAAGGAAAACAAAATAACATCATTATTTAAAAATGTGAAAGTGGATGATAGGAAGTCAAGCAGGATTTTGCACAAGCATTTTTCAAATTTCTTTAAGTAAACTTGGCTTGCATCATACTTACTGCATATAGGTCTCCGCCCGTTAATAGGTCTCCTTCACCTGCAATTACGAATACCCAATCCAAATAAATCCTTTTTACATGCATAATTGGGTAAAATGCAATGCTCCATATATACCTAATTTCTTAGGTTGAAATTCCCAAGGGATGTCTTTATCAAGGGCAGGAACAGAAACACCACGGGGAATATAGACATCACCAGACTTTATCGCAATTGTTTTCAATGGCCTCTGTATTGAGTGTTCATATGAAAAAATGGGCAATCATCACACAATGGCTTCATGAAGAGACCATAAATGAAACAAAACTGTAGCTACTATTCTTAGACAAGCTTAAAGAGAAAAATATAAGCAGAATGTAACAAACCTGAATACCATCAAAGATGTTCCCCAATATTCCAGGACCCAGCTCCACTGACAATGGCTGTTATTTCAAAAATAAAAATATGGAAAATTAATTGTCCAGATCATGTAGTCCAGACAGAAGGCTACATATTAATCAAGAGAACAGAAGTATGCTCTCACCTTGCGTGTACGTAGAACAGGGTCATTGACCATAAGGCCAGCTGTTTCTTCATAGACTGCATGAAAACAGATACTTTCAACAATCTTTCCAATGTTATATCCTCCATCACATGTTACCAAAGCCCTTTCTAGTTCTTGATTCTTCATTAATAATTTAATATTTTATTATAGGACCACTAGTAAGCAACTATAACAGTCGTTTATTTTTTTCAGAAAGGAATGTCCATTTTTAACAGCAGTGACAATTTTATCCATGTGAGCTTAATTCTGATACCACCGCCCACATCCCCACTTTCAAAAGGTAGCACAGGTAAAGGGAAGGGGCAAAGAGCCAATGGAAGTAAAAGTTAGTAGTAGTATGAAGAGAGAAGATACATCAATGGCATGAAAGAATGTGATTAAGAAAAATATACCCTGAATTGTAGCAGAATCTCCTTCCAACCGGATGATTTCCCCAATAAGATTGTCATGTCCAACACGAACAAGCTCATACATAGCAGCCCCTGCCATCCCATCAGCAACGACGACTGGACCAGATACCTGTAAGAAAAGAAAGCCAGAAGGCAGGCAATATTGTGAGTTCAAAGAACTTTAGCAACTGAACAACGTCACCTTCAACAAACTTAAAGGAAGAATATAGTAGACATAGTATTTCAACCATTGAGTCAAGCTAGAGCGGAAGTGATGTGAACAATAAGTTGCATAAAATAAAAATTACTTTAAAAATAATAAATAAATAAAAAGGCACAATTCCACTTATCAAATTGAAAAAGTAAAGAACCTAGCTGCTTCAAACTACTTTTTTGAGAGAGTTTAGTTGCATCACGTTCTACATTTCTAATTGCAAAAACTCCACTATATGGTGACCACTACACATATATATAACACCAGATAACCATAAGTCCATAACTTCACTGCATAAGAATGAACTGACAAGTTTGGAAGAATCAAATTTCAATGCCAAAAGCCAAGCATCTCGAAGTTGCATTAAATTTAAACAACGAGCAAAAATCCTATATTCAAGCGCATGGAAGAGATTCATAATGTCTAATTCTAATTGCAAATAAATGATCACAAGCCAGCCAGAGAAAACATACACGGCCAATCACTCAATCAAATTAAAGCTATTCTAATCGTGTGCAAGTGAGTGACAGGCTCCCGATTTAAACACGCAAAGTCAAATAACTACTCGGAAGATTGAAAGTATGAAACGAAACGGAACAACAACGAAATTTGAATAGAAACTAGCTACGGATCAAACTATCCAAGCGAAGATGCGAACCTTCCTGACGTATCCATACTCGCTTTCCTTTTCAGAATCCTCGAACGTGGTCAGAGGACCTCCGAACGCCGACGGCATTGTGACGGACGGTGATATCGCCGGAACTAAACGCAAATCTCCACGATTCGATCGGAGGCAAGCACCTTCCTTCCGAGATTTGGAGACCGGTGGAGCTGAGACAGAGGTAGTTGTACGAACTACGAAGTTGAGTAGATTTCTAATGTGTTGCTGGGTAGCTAATTATTTTTAGACAACCAATGAGAATGCCACACGTTAGCGAGACTGCCTACGACACGTCACGATAGCATGGCAGCAGTACTGACGTAGACGTATGCGTCTCTGATCCTTCCATGTGCAACGTGATTCAGTGATACTCCGTATTTTGTATTTTTGTTCATTACTTGATTTGTTTTTGATATTTTTTGTCCCCACTCTCCTCCCTACCTAATTATTTATCCAAATGTCGCATATAACATAAAATAATACAACGTATATTTGGAAAAAAATTTATATCATGCAAGTATACCATGGAGTAAATAACTTCCCAATGGATGGAATTGAATTTGAAAGTACGTGGAGTAAATACAATGTTATCATAGTAGAATTTTCAAAGATAAATTATGAATACTTAAGAGTAAATATCCAAAATGGTCCCTTGATTATAGCTAAATTCACAAATTGGTTCTCGAGTTTTAATTTCAATCAATTAAGTCCTTAACTTTGTAATTTTGACACGATTTGATCCTCCATCTATTTGACCATTTGTTGACCGTGATCGACGATCTCCAGAAGAACCTTCAGCTCTCGTCGGAGCACGTGGAGGCCTCCAGGATGACGCTGCACTGGTTCGGAAACATGTCGTCTTCTTCGCTCTGGTACGAACTCAACTACATTGAATCCAAAGGGAGGATGAAGAATGGCGACCGGATTTGGTAGATTGCTTTCCGCATTGGATTCAAATGTAACAGTGCAGTCTGGAAATACAACTAGAACCTTAAAAAACCGACGATAAATCATGAAATTACATATATATCTTCAAAAATCACAGTCAACAAATGGTCAAATAGACAGAGGACCAAATTGTGTTAAAATTACAAAGTTAAGGACTTAATTGGTTGAAATTAAAAGTCGAGGACCAATTTGTGAATTTAGCTATAGTCGAGGGACTATTTTGGGTATTTACTCAATACTTAATAGAGTTTTTTCCACTTTTGGTCCCTCGACTTCACTTGTGGTGACAAATGGGATTCACGACTTTTATTCCGGACATAATAGGTGCTCAACTTCAATTTTTTTTCCACATTTGGTCCCATCCGACCAAGAACCCGGCCAACCCACCGGAATTAGACTCAATCCTTGTTATGTTAAGGGTATTCTAGTCATTTCTAACCCATTGTGTGTCCTCGAATTCCATTTCTCCATTGACGACCTTTATCTCCACCAGCCATAGCTCCGGCGCCACTTGAAGAATTTCCACCATTAACGTTACTCTTGCTTTTACCAGTCTGATTCCCCCTCCCTTTCCCCTCTCCACCCTATACCCTGCTTCACTCCCGATCTTCTTTACCTTCTCCTCAACCTCTCCTACCTCGGAATTTGTGGTGAATCTCATTTCTTTCTTGTTCAATCCCGCCTGGAATAGCCCTGATAGATCCAACCCGGGAGACATTGAAATGATATCGAATGCCTTCATTTTGGTTAAGTGTTTGCAATCTTTGTCGAACTCTTGGTTCCCGAATTGATGTTCGTCTGTCAAACACGGGAGCTTCATCAGTTCCTCGATGGACATTCTGGTTACCGGATTGGGATCGAGCAGCCGGAAAATTATGCTCCGGGTGGGCTTTGTGATCAAATCCGGGAACTGAAACGCGCGGCTTCGTATTGCACGGTACATGTTTGATATATTGCTGTCGTCGAATGGGAGGTACCCTGCGAGGAAGGCGAAGAGGATGACGCCGCAAGACCACGCGTCGGCCTTGGCGCCGTCGTAGCCTTTTCTGATCATCACCTCCGGGGCGGTGTAGGCCGGAGTACCGCACGCGGTGTGGAGGAGGCCGTTCCGGATCTGCTCCGGCAGCGCGGAGAAGCCGAAATCGGAGATCTTGAGCTTGCCGTCCTTATCGAGGAGGAGGTTCTGGGGCTTGATGTCACAGTTGGCCGGGTTCTTGGTCGGATGGGACTAAATGTGGAAAAAAAATTGAAGTTGAGCACCTATTATGTCCGGAATAAAAGTCGTGAATCCCATTTGTCACCACAAGTGAAGTCGAGGGACCAAAAATGGAAAAAACTCATACTTAATATGTAAATTGTGTATCTTTGAATTCGGGTTCACATTGCAAGGTGAATCCGAGTTCACAAAATAATTTGCCCTGAGGTAGATGCTGGCTCAATGTGGGGTTGTGCAGCAATTATATTGTGGACCATTGTCCAACCTGGCAAACACTATAGTGTATCTAAACTGACACTGTCTCACGTATTATTTTATTATTTATCAAATGAAACTGCAATTGAATTAAAATAAAATTGTAGTTATGTTGAAATTAAATTATAATGTATACAAAATATATATACAAAATAAAACTGAATAACAATCACATATTTGAGTGTACATTCTATAGCGAAACTGTAGATATATCAAAATAATATTGTAATTATATTGAAATGAAACTGCAGTGCATATATAATATCTAAATCACAATGCATTGTGTATCGCGGTCCACAGTATAATTTGCCGGGGTTATGAACCATGGTCATGGACTCATGGGTAGGCTTTGTAGATTTGGCCCATCAAGAAATTGCACAAAGAATGGCTCCGAATCCGATTCGAAGAGGCGATTAGCAGAATCAATCGTTTGACATCTGCAGCCTAATACTATCCTCACCTCATGAACGTCGTATATCTTCCCTCAAACCTCCGTTTCCACTCGTTTCTCCACCGTCCCTCTCCCCCACTGCTAAAGCTCTCGTGTTTTCACAGCGGCGGACACTATGGTTCGGTTGCAATTGGAAAGGCAGTTCCGGCACGGGACCGGGTCATCGACTTCGGGAAATTCAAAGGCAAGATGCTGGGAACGCTGCCGTCCAGCTACCTCAAGTGGGTGTCTAAGAATCTCCGCGCGCGTGACTTCGAGGACTGGGCGAAGCTGGCCGACGAGGTCCTCGACGACCCGGTCTACAACGACCGAATCGAGTGGGAGTTCGCTCAGAATGTCCTCAACGGCGACGTTTTATTGTCGGCAACAACTCCGAGCGCGGTCTCGGAGTTGCTTGAAATCAGCCAGAGATTCGGTTGGGACAACGACGACAAGGCCGGTTGGAGTAAGATTGATTTTAGCCTTCTCGGAACCTCCAAAGGCGGTAGAATTCCCAGGCTTGGCGATTCCGATTCCGGCAGCAGGAACGACCGTACAGGTACGGAATCAAAACAGCGCCGCCTGAAGAAGGAAGGCGGCGAGGAAGAAGCAAATAGGGGGAGGAGGGAGAGACGGCGGGAGAGGCTCCGGGCGACGAGGACGAGTGTTTCCTCCGCCGCTGAGTCTCTGCCGGAGGAGAGGATGGTAAGATTGGAGATTCGGGAAACCCTCAAGGGCAATGTTGGTAATGCGGAGGTAAACCGGGTGCGGGTTGACGGGTCCCCAAGTGGGATACCGAGCCCGTTTCCGGGGCGCGAGGCACTGTTGAAGAAAGTGATCAGTCGTAGGAGATTATCGTAACGATGTTTTAGTACACTGTATTTTTGTAATTGATAAATCTGTATTCTTATCAGTTGGGAAGTTATTTACTCCGTACTTATACAGCGAGTAAATAAGGTCTGGCCAGAATAGGAAAATAATCTTTAAAATTTTTTCTATCAATTATAAATTGATTAATTACAATTATTTTTCTTAATTGAGATCATCACACATAATTTAATTATTACACAAAATTTACTCGGTATATATTTTTAAGCATTAATACCATCTAGAGTTTTTTGAATATAGTAATTTTGACACATTTAGTCCTAAAATTTCAAATTAATTCCCTTCGACCTTCAAACGAAGAACTATGATAACAATTTGAAAGTGTATCACAAATGGTGAATTTGTAAATGTATGACTAACGTGATAAAATTACTATTCGCCTCTAAATATTATTAACTCTATTTTTAAATTGGGAAATGTAAATTAATTAGTGTCCGTGAGTCCGTGATATAGTAGGTTAAATTAAATTGTCATCGATTTAATTGAGATGACTTTGGCATAACCAGTAAGTGATAAATTCGTACGTCATAATGTAAATTGATTTGTTGACGACTTGACGTTGTTCATGCTATAACACAACAGATGTTGTACACAACCTTTAGTACCATGCCAACGCATCTGCACCGCTCAAACACGTGTTCATATATGTTGTGTCAACTTGCCTTCCAGTAATATCTCAATCTTTTTTTTTTTTTTTTTTTAAGAATAATCTTATAAAATGGAAAAGGTAAAATCCCCTATTCAAATTTAACCGTAGAAAATGAAAATTTTCATCCTAATTTAGAATAGAATCACATAAATTAATGCCTCCTGATCATATTGAAATAAACTCGCACTCTAAATTAACTTAATAGAGTGGCCAATTTGTAATTAGCTGTTAATGTAATTACAAATAAAAATAAGTAAACTTCTAAATCAACCTATACAGAGTAAGAATCAAACTTATAAAATATATAACTTGAATTGAATTCAACATTCTTATTGTTTTTGGTTTACATGAAAACATTTTATTGAAAGATTTTTTTAAATGAATTATGAACTTTTTATAGTAATTGTTTCTAATAACTTATTTGATTATATGTAACGTTATTTGACCGAAAGAATGTTGACAAATTTGTAAATTCATTTTTAGTGAGTTTTTAGCTTTTATCTCTGTACATTTTACATATAAGGAGTCTTTTATCACATATGATCAATCTTTTAAGGTTTAGATCGTCTAATAATCTTTATCTTGTCATTAAATCAAGACTTTTTGACTTAAATCATTGAGTTAAGTCATGTGTCAATTATCTAAATTTTAAATTGAATTCTCCTATATATACTCTTTATTTTTTCTTTATCACTTTTACTCTCTGTTGTGACAATTGATAATTAATTATTTTCATTCTATACCTCTGGATGAAAATATGAATATTAAAATGTTGTAAGGATAAGTACTGAGAGATGAGAGAAGAGGAGTAATATTTTCCTTTTGAATCTACAAAGAATCGTACCACCAAAATGCGAATCCAAAAGTGGGAGGGAGGGGCAGAATGGTAAAAAGAGGGGGAATGAATCCTCAAAATGCAAAAGAGTCAAAAAAGTCCCGTCTAGTTTCGCGGCTTTTTGTAGCGTCAATGGGGGAAAGCAGTGAAGAGAGTGGTGTTTCTGACAATATTCTCTGCACAAAACCGAGCAAACCAACCCTCGATGCACTCTCATCTCTGTCCCTCTGCCTCTGGGGTTCTGTGCTCTTTCTCCCTCTACTCAACTCTAATCAAACCACCCCTCTTAAGCTAAACCCCATCATCAATCAAACCAAAACACCACTCTCCTCTCAGAGCACCAGTAGCACTGCTAAAAAAAACTAAAAAACAAAAACCAGAGAGAAATTCACATGCCCACAGTTCATTTTCTGGAAAAGCCTCCTCCTTTGCTCCACCCCATTTTCTCTCCCATTCTAGGGTTTCCCATTTCGTTTCAACCAGTGCTGATCCTGGTAAGTGATCTGATCTGTGGGGCTTGGTTTTTGCCCTTTGCGGCTGAAATGTGAGATCTTGGAGGGTAAAAGCGTTGTCTTTTGGTTGACTGAGATTCCACTCCTTCCTTCCCTGGGAAGTGATTCTTGAATCTCTGTGGGGATGGGGGCTTTTGTTGTGTCTTTTTGAAGACATGTACTTTCTTCTGGGTCTATGGATCTTTGCTTCTTCTTTTTTCTGTAAAGTGCTCACTTTTTGTGTGTTTTGTTTGAGTGATTGAGTGCCACTGTTTGGAAATGTGCAGATTATGGAAGCTGATTGAAGTTCCTTGGAATGTGAAAGGAGAGCTTTCTGTATGCACATGGTAAGCTCATATGCTCACTAACTCTACAGTCTACAGATCTTTTACTTACTGTGTTTTATAGTGGGTGCTTTCCATTCTTTGATAAGGAATTTCTTTTGCATGAGAACTGATGTCCTTGGACCTTGGTGTAATTGCTTATGATCTTGAGTTTGATTTATGATTAATCAGGATAGCATGGACTTAGTATTTTCAGTTGAATGCAGGTTTTGATATTTTTGTGTCAAATCAGAAGAGAATTGGCTTGAGCTCACTTGTGGGAATCATTATTTGGTGATGGATTTCTTAAAAGCTAAGAAGTTCAGGAAAGCTCACAAACCGAAACCAGAAACTGGCACTGATGAGAAACCCGTGCCTCATCCAGAAGAGCGTAAGAATGAGGGCGGTCAGGAATTGGGTAAACCAGGGCAGGTTGATTCTAACAATGTTGAAGCGGAGGATGATGACGATGATTTTATCACCAATGAAGTGAAGAGGAGGTTGAAGGAACTCAGAAGAAACAGTTTCATGGTTTTGATTCCTGAAGAGGCATCCCCTGAGGACGGGGAGGAAGATGATGATGATGATGAAGAAGAGCAAGATGACATTGAGAGCAACCTTAATCAATGGAGGGATGTAGAAGCTGAAGGAAGACAGTTTTGGTCTGGATTTGATGCAGTATATGACAAATACTGTGAACTGATGCTATTTTTTGATCGACTGCATGATCAGCAGCTGCGTGAATTTGGTAACATTTTAATGTCTCGACTCTCGAATGCATCTTTTAGTTGCTCATTCGAAATGATTGTGAAATAGAATGCTGCTTTACGTCTTGTGTGATCTCTAATTGCTTGTTTATGTGTACTAGAAATCGTCAATAGTTTTACAATTATCTTATACATTGTATTAAAATAACAAATTACGCTTAACTAGAGGGACTTTATGAGATGAAAATTATATTGTTTCTGAATTGTACAACCACTTACATTCCAGTTAAAATTATGAAGGTTCAATAAGGCTACTATCGAGAGTTAACTCCATTAAATTTATCTAAAGATGAGAAATGCCCTTCATGTCTTAATATTTTAGATTAAAACGTTGCAGGTTCTCATGTTCCTTCCACTCCATCTCCAAAATCAGCGTCTAAAAAGCTTGCATCACCCTTTCGTTGCCTTTCCTTGAAGAAAATGGACGAACCCGAAGATGAAACTGAGCACCTGCACAGGTCAGGAAGTGACCCTTACCATGATCTTGAAACAGCTTACGTAGCTCAAGTATGCTTGACTTGGGAGATACTTCACTGCCAGTACACACAGTTGAGCCAGAAAATATCCTGCCAGCCTGAAAGTGCCACATCTTACAACCATAGCGCCCAGCAGTTTCAGCAATTCCTGGTTTTGCTACAAAGGTTCATTGAAAATGAACCGTTTGACCAAGGTTTGAGGCCAGAAATTTATGCCCGTACAAGGAATTCATTGAGTAAACTACTCCAGGTCCCTAAAGTTCAAGGTATAAAACTTCATTCGTAACAAGGTTCTCATGTTAAATATTTTCACTCCGTCTCCATATAAGATTTAAGTTTGCTGAATATTTAAATTTCTGAAAACCGTCTTGCATGTTTTGCTAAACAAACTTGTACGCGAATTCCAGGTTCTGATCAGAAAAAGAGTGAAGAGGAAGAGTTTCTTGTTCTGGCCCCTGAACTAATTAAAATAATTGAAAGTTCGATTCTGACTTTTCGTCAATTCCTGAAAATGGACAAGAAAAAAACAGGTGGTATCCGTTCACTACTAGGTGGTCAGAACCAAATGGCTACACCCCTTCAGCAGATACAGTCGTCCCTCGAGAAAGTAATTGCTCATCTTTCTTCTTACCATAGTGTCTTGTGGGAAAATGCACCTTTTAACAGAAGAATATTAATCTTTTGACTGTTCTCTTTAGATTAATCTTGAGAAAAGGGTCAAATAGACCCCTAAACATTACCCTAAAGGTCAATTAGCCCCCTAAACTTTAAAAAATGTCAATTAAACACTCAAACATGCTAAATTTGGTCAATGAAGCCCAAAAATCGGTAAATGACCTGTTTTTACCGGTCATTTTAATTCCGGCGACGAAATCCGGCCACCGGTGACGAATTCCGGCCACCGGCGAATTTTTCCGGCGGCCGACGAATTAATTTTCTGGCCGTCCGGTCGTCTTCCACCGGAGAAGACGACCGGACGGCTGCCTTCTCCAATGGAGAAGGCGGCAGGCGGCCGTCTGCCGCCTTCTCCAGTGGAGAAGACGACCAGATCTGGTCGTCTTCTCCATTGGAGAAGATGACCAGATCTGGTCATCTTCTCCAATGGAGAAGACGACCAGACGGACGTCTTCTCCATTGGAGAAGACGACCAGATCTGGTCGTCTTCTCCACTGGAGAAGGCGGCAGACGGTCGCCTGCCGCCTTCTCCATTGGAGAAGGCTGGAGAAGGCGGCCGTCCGGTCGTCTTCTCCGGTGGAAGACGACCGGACGGCCGGAAAATTAATTCGCCGGCCGCCGGAAAAATTCGCCGGTGGCCGGATTTCGTCGCCGGAATTAAAATGACTGGTAAAAACAGGTCATTTACCAGTTTTTGGGCTTCATTGACCAAATTTAGCATGTTTGAGTGTTTAATTGACCTTTTATAAAGTTTAGGGGGCTAATTGACCTTTAGGGTAATGTTTAGGGGTCTATTTGACCCTTTTCTCATTAATCTTTAATTTGCCTTTAA